CGGAGCCCCTGGGCGAGTCTCAGGGCTCTGCTGATGCCAGTGGCCCCTGGCGCCCGGCCCCCGGCCTCCGTGGGACCTCAGTAAGGCCTGCCTGACAGGAGGGGCGGCTGGGGCGGGCCTGTCACTCGGTCCGTTCCGGACACCCAGCCTGGCGCTCTTTGGCAGGAAGAGAAGGGGCCAGCCCGGCTCTGTCGCTCGGCCACCGGCTCCCAGCCAGGGCAGAGGAAGCCGCGGAGGAAGTTTCCTTCCTGCCTCCTCCTCGGCCCCGTCCAAGTCTCGCTTTCTGTGTATTTCCTTCTTGTTTTCCTCAGCTGCCCTCCGCTTGACACCGGCTTACAGGAACGTCCCAGGGCGGCCATCACCGAGACCCGGGCGGGTGTTTAAAACAACAGCAATGGGAGTTCTCAGAGTTCTGGAGGCCGGAGTCCAAAACGAGGCGTGAGCAGGCCCCGCCCCTGAAGCCCGGGGGAGCCCTCCTGGCCTCGCCCCAGCCTTGGCGGGGCGCTGTCCCCAGTGCTCCTGGCTGGGCCCGTGGCCCGCCTCTGTCCCGTCTTGGCTTGTCTCTCCCGGTGTGGCTGCGGCCTGCTCTCGCCTCGCGTCAGCTCACGGGCCAGGGCCCAGCACACACCCCGCTCCAGGTGTCCTGCCCAAACCTCGGCCGCTCCCACCTGGGGCCACCCTCCTGGGCTTCACCTGGACGTGAATTTGGGGGGATACCCCTCAGCCCCACGCTGCTGGCTGGATCTCAGATTAAAATCATTTCTTCAGGCCTCGCTCGTGGTGCAAGAGATGAAAGTGCAGCACCATGAAGCTGTCTGCAGCCACTGCCAGGGAGGGACCCCCAGGGCGCAGCAGACCTCTCCTGTCTCCCCGCTGCCCCCTCCGCAGTCGGATTCAGTGGATCTACCTGTTCTGCTCCCCACTCTGTCTCTGGGGTGTCCTCTCAGCCTCACACCTCTGGCCTGTACCCTAGTTTTGTATGCACACATAAATAAATCTTTAAAAAAAAAAAACACACATTTTTCCTCGCACCTTCAAGGAAGAGCCTGGGAAATGGATGCTTCTGGGCAGAGGAGCAGGGGAGACAGCTTTACATGTTAGACCCCTGACAAAAGAGGTCGTAAGCACGCGGGGCCTGGCCGAGGCGGGGCTGGGAGGTGGGCTGAGGGCCCTGCAGGCCGCCGGCAAGGGAGCACTGCCTGCAGCCGCCTGGGGTGGCCTGGCCACGGCAGACGTTGCCTCATCCCGCTGCAGGGGCGCTTCCTGGGGGCCAGCTCAGTCTGACAGCCTCAGATGACCTCCATGCGAGACACAGCGGCCTCTAGAAAGCTGATGCTGGGAAGGGGGGGTGGGTGGCTGGGTCTGGACATCCAGCCAGCGCTACAGGTCCTTGGCAACATCACCGAGGAAGTCCAGGCGCGAGCGACGGCCAGCTCCTCGCTGAGCCCAGTGTCTGAAGGTGAGAGGACGCGGCATGGCAGTAGCCTGTCCCAAAGATGTCCCTGTGGAGTCCAGACAAGCAGGCCGGGTGGCTGGGGACGTCCACGGTGCCCCTGCAGCGCCCCCTTTGCAGACAGGTGTGGGCTGGAGAAAGTCTCCAGGGGCCGAGAGCAGAGGGGATGTGCTGAGACCCTCCCTAGAGCCTCCCGGCACGGCCTGCGGCCCTCCCTCAGCCGCTTCCCCTCCCCTGCAGCCCGGGCCTCTGGACAGACCCTTGGCCCTGCCAGGCTCTCTGGGCGACCCAGGTCTGCCTTGCGGAGCTCAGGAGAGGCGAGAGGTGGGGCCCAAGGAGGCCGGGTGAGTGTACCTGAACCACAGGAAGGGGCCGCCCTGCGCCTGCAGACCCGATGCTGCTCCGGGGCAGGAAGTCAGCTGAGTGCCAGGCAGGCAGGCTGCCTGGGGAGGGGCGGCCAGGGGCAGCTTACCGCCCCAGGATCTCCGCGTGGGAGAGGCCGGGGCATGGGGCTGAAGACCCTGCTGGTTTTCACGCCAGCTCCTTCCATTCCTCCAAGTTAGAAGGGGACTGTGGGTCTCCAACTCTGCCCCCCCAGTGGGGGGGGTGTCACCCCACTTCCTCAGAAGTCATGGTAGCTCAGGGGCAAACACTTTTCCTAGGAGGGAATGAGCGGTCACTCAACAAGCTGCCCAATGCCCTTGACGAGGGACCGGGCCCCTGGACAGGCTTACTTGCTGCACCACCCAACTGGGTTTCAGCAGAGGCCTGTCCCGCTCAGGGGAAGCCTTGAGCAGCCCCGCCTGGCCGCCTGGGGTACCCCTCCCTTCTCGCCCTGAACCAGAGTCCCTCTCTGCCCAGCCTGCCCCACCACGGGACAAGCAACTCGGCCAGGTGGTCACCGGCAGCCAGGCCCGCCCTTCCTCACTGGGGTGCCGCTGCCCCCTGCCCCCAGCCTGACTCCTGCAGAGGAGAAGGGGCCTGGAGGCCGCCCCAGCCTGTGCGGGCCGCGCACCCCTCAGTCCTCGCCTCTGTGGCCCCCCCAGCGGCTCCCGAGGCCTGGAGCTGGCAGCCGTCCGCTGGGCCGAGCAGCGCTGGACAGCTGGGGCCACGACGCCAGCTGACTCACTGCAGCCAGGCGGGGCCTGCCGAGAGAGAGCCTTGGCCCTCAGCCTGGGTCCCCGCAGATGCCACAGCAAGTTGGCCGTCCTCTAGGAGGGGTGCCAGGTAAGCCCAGGGGGAGGGCCGAGAGGGAGGAGGCCCCTGGCTCCAGGCAGGGGCAGGGCCCTGGTGGGGAGGCCTGGGACCCCTGGGCTGATGGGGGGAGGGGCAGGCAAGGGCCCCGCCCCCATGCTACTACGGCTCTATGTCCATCACAGACTGTTCTGAGGTGGGACTGACCCCTGGTCACCAGGAGGGAAACAGAGGCAGGGAGTGGGGGTGGGGACTGGGCCGCGGTGGAGCACAGGGCATGGGCACCACGTGAGGTCAGGCCCTTTCACCACGTGCTCCCCGGGGCCCCAGCGGAGCTGCCCAGGACTCCTGGACCACCCGTCCCCGCCCCCGGTGTCCAGGAACACCCGCCTGCCAGGGAGAGCCAGAGCCCTGCGTAGCGGCGGGTGGGGCGCCCGGCTGCCCCTGCCATCCCGGGGGCACCGAGCTGACCAGCCGGGAACAGCCGGCCGGCCCCCAGCCGCGTCCCCATGGCAACCGCTGCATGGTCGCTCGCCCCTGGCAACAGCGGGAAGGGACCGCGGCCGCGCCAGCTGCGAATTCCTCAGTCCTTCCCTCAGCGCCGCCCCGGGCTTCCTC